CAATTGGGTGTCTCGAAATCGAAGCAAATCGAACCGAAAAATTAGTTATCGTTCTCGAACCGAACCATCAAAAGTATAAAACGGTCATTTTTTTAAAACTCAACATCCGAGAACCTCCAAAAACATGGAAATATTATTAAAAAAAGTACATTTTATAATAGTAACTGAAATCGAAACAGACCGATCGAATATAACAACCCATTAACAACGAAACGCCCATTCCTAATTGATATCATGTTTATGAAGTATTTTTAATAAATTTGTATATTAATACGTGATTTTGCATATAAACAATTATATCCTACAATTTTAAGTGGAGAGAAAAAAATCATCATAACATTTTAATACGTATATAGTTATCCTTGTTAGAGTAACGAAGAAAATGTCATCCTCAAAGCATGTGTTTATTACTCTTCTTATCATAGTCTCACTTGTTGTGACGGTTCAATCATCAAGTATATTTTTTATCTATTTCTTTTTGAAACCATAACAAAATATTTTTTATTTTAATATAAAAATTCTTTATTTAATTGTTTTCACTACATTGGAATTTTTTAAATAGAATAATCAAATTTTAATCTTTAAATATTTTTTTATTTTGATCGAATTGCAGGCAACGTGAATCAAGAAGAAGAGGATTGTTATTGGGCAGGACCATGCAAATCCAATCCGGATTGTAATAAACCGTGTGCATCAGCTGGACCCCCACCACATTTTACGAGGGGATTATGTGAACCTCACGGTCCTTCTGAAAACACTGAATGTTGTTGCGTTTAGATTTTACCAAACTAAAATATGAATTTAGTGGTTTCCTATGGATTTTTAAATAAAATTATCCTTTATATGAGTTCAACCTCTCATTATCATGTCTTATTATTAGGGGTGGGTGTTACAATTGGGTGTCTCGAAATCGAAGCAAATCGAACCGAAAAATTAGTTATCGTTCTCGAACCGAACCATCAAAAGTATAAAACGGTCATTTTTTTAAAACTCAACATCCGAGAACCTCCAAAAACATGGAAATATTATTAAAAAAAAGTACATTTTATAATAGTAACTGAAATCGAAACAGACCGATCGAATATAACAACCCATTAACAACGAAACGCCCATTCCTAATTGATATCATGTTTATGAAGTATTTTTAATAAATTTGTATATTAATACGTGATTTTGCATATAAACAATTATATCATATACATTTTACATTCTTTCAAATTGATACCCGAATGTGAATTTATTAAACAAAAAATGGATTTGTTTACAAGTCGAAATTTGCATTGGAATCTAATGGGTCAAAAGATATATCAAATCTACTGATTTAATATAATTCTTTATTATTAATTTCTTAAATTACACGGTGATCGCATACTATTTTTGGTTCATTATGTGGAAATAAATTGAACGACAGTTAAAATTATATAAATTTTATTTATTTACTTATTTGCGAGTATGTTTAATTATTTGGAAGTATCCATTGTATACTACAAAATTATGGTAAAGAAATATTTGGAAGTATCCATTATATCTCTATTCGAAATAGGATGGTGTATTTCACTAGTACTAATGTAGAAACAAATAATATTTATTAAAAATAATAATTACATTGATTTGGCATACATTATTTTTTTTACTTCGTTGTGGTGATTTACGGTACACATGGAGGACGTTAATCTTATCTCGTTTTGTTTCCATAAACATTTCTAAAAAACTTGGCAAAATATCTTCTTTATAAATAAAATGTTGACAAGATATCTTTCATATTCATAACGAAAATTATTTATTGATATATATGTATACGATTGTATTTTTGGTCCATCAAATGATATTATTACCTTTTTAAGAATTTTTTCATTTGATTAGTTTTAAAGGTTACACCTTTCTGTCTATATATATATCAACTCCTACAATTTTAAGTGGAGAGAAAAAAATCATCATAACATTTTAATACGTATATAGTTATCCTTGTTAGAGTAACGAAGAAAATGTCATCCTCAAAGCATGTGTTTATTACTCTTCTTATCATAGTCTCACTTGTTGTGACGGTTCAATCATCAAGTATAATTTTTTATCTATTTCTTTTTGAAACCATAACAAAATATTTTTTATTTTAATATAAAAATTCTTTATTTAATTGTTTTCACTACATTGGAATTTTTTAAATAGAATAATCAAATTTTAATCTTTAAATATTTTTTTATTTTGATCGAATTGCAGGCAACGTGAATCAAGAAGAAGAGGATTGTTATTGGGCAGGACCATGCAAATCCAATCCGGATTGTAATAAACCGTGTGCATCAGCTGGACCCCCACCACATTTTACGAGGGGATTATGTGAACCTCACGGTCCTTCTGAAAACACTGAATGTTGTTGCGTTTAGATTTTACCAAACTAAAATATGAATTTAGTGGTTTCCTATGGATTTTTAAATAAAATTATCCTTTATATGAGTTCAACTTCTCATTATCATGTCTTATTATTAGGGTGGGAATTACGATTGGATACGGTTCACATGCAGTGTTCAGGAAGAGATCATATAACTATAAGTGTGCGCAGACACGGTGACGGGGGATGCCACGACTTGGTACAAAAAAACGTTTTATTTAGAATGAATGTTCCATCTCTATTTTCATAAATGTTCATATATTTCAATCCAATTAATTATTTAGTTAGTTTATTATGGCCGCGTATTTGTATAGAATTATTTACGAAATTAAAAAAAAAAAAAACAGACTGTCACTTAACTCGATTAAAAAATGTTGATTTTCCACCCATAAAATCAGTTCATTATAGGTGAATATATATATATATATATTATAATATTTGGATATTGATTACATAAAATCTGCCATCCATGGGCTACGCAATAATGATCACTCATTATTCCAACTAATTATATAAAACAATACAGCTCAACCGAAACCTTTATGCCAAAGCATGTTATATATATATATATATATATATATATATATTAAAATTCCAACTAATTCAACAATAATAATCAATACTCCTAAAGCAGTATTGGCCCCAAGAAGGGGAAAAAAAGGCTAAGACAACTATTGGAATAAAGCAGAGAAAGTAAATGAGATTAACAGCTAGCTAATCATAATTAAGTAACTGTGTTATTTTACTAATTGCTAATTTACTAATTATTACGTGGAATTAAAAAAAAAACACAAAAATATCTGAGGGGGGAGGGGACAGAGATTGTTGGGTGGGTACTTGCAAAGTTTGGACAAAAATCATTGACAAAGAAACAAGATCCACCAAACGTTTTCTCCTCTTGAATCTGTATATTTATCTTTTCAAATTAGACAAATCACAAACCAATTCATCTCCCTCTTCTTCTTCCTCCTCCTCTCTTCAGATAAACCCTCTGAGTCTGGTCTGTTTCAGACAAGAGCGCAACAATGGCGTTCGCGGGAACTACCCAGAAATGTATGGCTTGTGACAGAACCGTTTACCTCGTCGACAAGTTAACCGCCGACAACCGTGTTTATCACAAGGCCTGTTTCCGGTGTCATCACTGCAAAGGAACTCTCAAGGTAAAGCGAAAGAATAAATGAAAAGAAAAGCACAGAACTTTGGTTTTGATTCTTGTTTCTCTATCCATTTTGGATTCTGGGTTCTCTTCTCCAGTGAAAATGGTAGACAGCTTCTGGATAGTTCTGATGAAGATGAATGTCTGAGTACTGTTTTCAGCCTAGGAAGGTAGAATCTTGGATTTGGTGTCTGGAATACGGTTCAAATACAGATGAATCTGATGTGAGAGAGATCTGTTTGCAACTCAGGAAGTAGAACCTTGGATCATGGGTTTGGTTGGAATTTTGGAAATGTCCGATTTTTGGATCCAAGAAAGATGAATCCAATGAGAAAGATCTCTTTTGCAGCATAGGAAGTAGAATCTTGAGCTTTTTGGTTTGGTCCGGAGAATTTGGAGTGACTGAATATTTGGTTCAATGGAAGATGAATCTGATGTGACAGATCTGTTTTTTTTTATGTTTGCAGCTTAGCAATTACAACTCCTTTGAAGGAGTTCTCTATTGCAGGCCACATTTCGATCAACTCTTCAAAAGAACCGGAAGTCTTGAGAAAAGCTTCGAAGGTGAATATCCGAAACAAAGAGACACAAAAAAAAACGTCGAAAACGTGAAAACCATTACACAATCAAGAATCTAAAGTTGGTTCTTGTTAATGTTTTGAATATATGCAGGGACACCGAAGATTGTAAAACCTGAAAAACCAGATGGAGAGGTAAAATCCTGCACGACAATACCCGTGTTCTTGAAGATCTTTTTAAGGTTCTTGTTTCTCCTGATTCTCTTCTCACTGTTTCGAACTGAGGTTTTGACAGAGGCCTGCAACGAACAAAGTGTCAAGCATGTTTGCTGGAACCCGAGAAAAATGCGTTGGCTGTGACAAAACTGTGTATCCCATCGAAAAGGTCAGAATCCAAAATCTCTACAAGAAATTGTGATAATAAAGTGTAATAGATCGCCACCTGAAATAGCCATTGGGAAATATCATCTTGAAGGTTTCGGTTAATGGAACTCTGTACCATAAGAGCTGCTTCAAGTGCACACATGGAGGATGCACCATCAGCCCGTCAAACTATATTGCTCACGAGGGCAAACTCTACTGCAAGCATCACCATGTTCAACTCATCAAGGAGAAGGGGAACTTGAGCCAGCTCGAGGGCGATAATTCCACTAAGGAGAATACTGCTTCTTAGGCGAATGAATTTATCGCCCTCTTCTGCTTCATTTATCGGTGTCTTTTCCATAAATATGCTTATCAGACTTGCTCTGGTTTCTTGAGATGGAAAATGTGGTTGTATGCTTCTGAGAAATTCTCTGTTTTTTCGGCCATTGAGAAGCTCTGCTTCGCTGTAAGCAATCATTATCTGGAACAAGTATCATCATCTTCTGCATTATTTGTACCGGCATTTTGAATCCTTTCTTGTCACCTGTCACCTGAGTTTCAAGACAAGATGACATAAGGCACAGACACCGAGTTTTCATCAGACATGTTTATTATAGTGATGAATGGTGTTTTTGTGGGGGGTAACTTGTTATCGATTGAAGCACTTTGTTTAAGGTTTTGAAGCCGAGAGAGTCGAGCTTCAGGAAGAACGAAGATTACCCTTTTCCTTTGAAGCTCTCGGAAAAAGTGAAGAAATCAGCCCAAAAGAACTGTCTTCGAACAAAAACCAGAAGAAAAGGTCTTTGGTTATTAGTCTTGTGATCACTCTGCATATATGATCCTAACTGACAAAATCTTTTAGGTGGAATAAACAGATGTGGTATCTTAAGATGGAAACTGTTAATATGATCCAATTACTTGGGCACAATCCTGAGTGCTTGTCCGAATTTCTGAAGGCCTTAGTTTCTTCATCTACAAAGCTTTGTTCCTAAGGAGATTTCGGGTATTGAACCCTGCATGTTTGCAAATGCAATTGCTGAACTGCTTAATAATCTCTTCTTCCACATCTTTCCTTCTCTTCAGTTCTGCCTTGAAATCCATCAAAACATCCTCCTTTTCTTCTACAATCTTCCCCTATCTTTGAGATGATCGAGAAACTTTTACAACTAAAGAGTCACATACAAGAAGATTTCCGATGCGGTAATCGATGAGAGGAGTGGTTACATGGTAAGGTTCTATGGGATATATGTCCAACATGGAGAATGAGATCCCCTTCTCGTATTTCTATACGGATAAAAACTAGAACTTGAAAACCAGTTCATCACTATAATGCAAAAAGATCATCAGAAACCATACATCCTGAAACAACAATTTGAAAAGATTCCCTGAACCTATGGTGAATTACTAAAAAAGGAAATCGACCAAGAAAATTTCACTCAGTATTTCCAATTAACAGGAAGAGAAAACCCCATTTATTGAAATACAACTGTAGCTCAAAGGTTCAACAGATGCAGAGGTTTCGCTGAACTAAAGACCTCATCAGAGAGGCTATACATCCTACAACCACAAGGGAAAATAAAAATACAATACGATATCTTGATGATAGTGAAGAGGAATCTACCTTCTTATGGAAATTAAGAAGTTGATTTCTGGTTTGTGCATCTGAAAGCAAGCACGTGGCTTTCCTCGTCATTCTCTCATAAAGTGTTTCCCAATGATCTTTAGATAAAGAAGTGGTGGCAGTAGTTGCTTTCCGACCATCCAATACCTCTAAAAATTGTGTTTCCAGGGCAGAAAGAAGGCTCGCAGTGATTTCAGTTGTACCAATCAGTAATTTTGAGGTAGGAGATTCTTCATCCGTGACAAAGCTCTATCAAATCGACAAAAGAAAAAAAACTTGAACCGTGTTTATCATTCATAGATTCCAAGCAAATCACAGTGGAAAAGCACATTACTTACCTTCAATGGGAATTGAACGTTCTTGTGGATATCTCTGCAGCTGGCAACAGATTCGAACAACCTTTTAGGGACTTCTTTCATGTCCACTGCTTCTAGTTTGAGCTCAGAAATCTTTTCCTTTAGTCGGTTATTCAGAAGTACTTGTTCATTATGTTTTTTCTGAGAATACATGAATTGACGCACAAATTATCAAGGAAGCAATCCTATAAAAATTAAAAATATCAAAGATATACCCCAGGCTCAAGGCTCTATCCAGTGATTTTGTCGAGTGAATAAAAAAACCTCGAGGAACACATACAATTTTCAACTTAATCCAAAATACCCTCCTTTTGCTAAAACTACTTCTGCACATAACCTTCTCCAAATATGATTATATGACCAGATATGATTATATGACCAGAATGACAGTATGGTCACATAGTGGTCACATTGGTCATAACATTAAATGTATAAGGGAAACATACTTGAAAATTCCTGAACTTGTAATTTGGTGTAATATTAATTCATGAACTTGTAGGTGCGACTATTTATTCTCGAACTTGCATTTTTTAACACATTAATTCCTAAACTTGTTTAACAGTTTCATAATCGTCCATACCACTAATTGACCAACCAAAACAAAGTATATGAATTATTGTACTCAAAAATGCAAGTTTAGGAATTACTGTGTTAAAAAATGCAAGTTCAGCAATTATTGTGTTAAAAAATACAAGTTCGGGAATAAATAGATGCACCTACAAGTTCATAAATTAATATTACACCAAATTACAAGTTCAGAAATTTTCAGGTGTTTTTCTCAATGATCACACCAAGTCACCATAGTCACATCTTGCATATCACACTAATCACTTGGTGAATCTACCATAAATTTAACGTTATTACCAATGTGACCACACTGTCATTCTGGTCATATGGTCACATCTGGAGAAGGGTATGTGAAGAAATAGTTTTAGCAAAAGGAGGGTATTTTGGATAGAAGTCCATCAAATTAGGGACTAAATGTAAAATGCGACTAAATTGTTAGCTCAAATGGGCCGACAATACTGACCTCAAGAGTGTCCCTCTCCCTGGTCAGCAATTCAAACCGCTTTTTAAGATCTTCCAAGTCTTCTTCGTCATTTCCATGAAGGCTTTCCTAAAAGAGCAATAAACACATTGAGACCAGCTTCCAGCATATACTGCATGTGCTGAAACTCCTCACCAACAACAAGAAAGTGATAGTAAAAAAGGTTAAGTAGCTGCATAAAATTTGGACAGGCTTCAGGTAATAAGTGGAATGATGTTTTAAAGATAGATAATTCTTAGAATATGAAGAGCTGAAAAAGAGCCAGTTTCGAGTAAAACTGTATGTTCCAACATAAGTGGTACTGTAAAGGAAAACTAAGAATGAACCAGAGAGAACGGGAAAAAAAGCTTGGAACATTATATGCACTCAGTACTGTTCTGTAAGACTTTCATACGCAACATATTTGATTTTCATGGACATAACGTACTCACCTTAGTTGTGGTACTTGAAGGAACGGATAGACCTTTGACAAAAGGAGCACACTGGAGCTTATCAAGATCTACTACATAACCTTTGTTCATTTTCATCCATGTGTCTTCATCGGCCATATTTCCAAAGGAATCAACCAGAGGGCTAAAATCAGACAACCCTGAATAATTTGACCGAGCAACAACAAAGGATTTGGAAGCAGATCTAAAGCAAGGAGTATCTGGGAATTCTGAGCTATCATTTCCATAGCAATTCTCATCTGGTGTCTGTCTCTCACTGATGAATTCCTGCAAATGAAGGCAGTAAATTGAACAAGTCATTCACACAATCAGAGACACAAGAGTATCAAACTAGCTTATACATAGTACTTTTGTCTACAAAAAAAAAACTAATGAAGAGTGATAAGTTGTCAAATCATAAAACTCAATGCTCAATGGTAGAGATTGTGGTTATGCTTGAACAGAAATCAGGAATATGAAAGTATGCATTATAGTCTTAGAACTTATGTCTAGTTTAAATCCTCAGAAAGACGTATAGATGAAATGGTTACGGAGCATACCAAAAAAAAAAAGTTTAATGGAACTGACATTCCCATCTTGGAACAAAAAATCCGTACCTCAGACTGGTTCCTCCTAAGGTCTGAATTTGAGACAAGATTATTGAAATCCTTGATGCAGTGTTCATGTACCTTCCGTGTTCTCCTCTCTCCTTTAAGTTGGGTTTCGGGTCTTTCACACTCTAACTCATACTGAGAATAAAACAAAACAATTGAAAAAAGGTTTCTTGTTCTTAGTCTCCCCCTTACAGAGAATTCTGTTAGCGGTAGGAAAACTTTGAAAGAAAATCTACCTCGAGCATCTGATTTCTTAACTTTAAGATCTCTTGTTCCAGAACCTCAGTATGGGATCCCTACACATTTTACCAGTGTCAATATCCTTTCAACTAATATATGTGATTCAAAATATTAATTTCATTATCACCTCTAGTTTCATCCGAAGCTCTTCAATCTCTAACCTTTGCCGCTTCAATAAAGCTGCATCAGTCAAGATCTGATGAAGCATTTCAACAATGTCAGATTTTGTTTGGTTAAAATGAGATATAGAAGGGACGCTAAGCACATGGGGGAAGAGAACAGGCCTAACAGGGATATGTTTGGAAAGGTGGAAACAGAAAACATATAACAATGGAATACTGATAATCTATACAAACCTCCAGATTTCAAAAAAATAATAATAATAAAGATTCATATGCAGATCTCATTCACTTGAGCACAGTTGGTGATTATTTTGGCTCTGCTGGCAAATTGGAGAGTTCCTTTTGATTCCTCAATATGATCCTACACGCATCAGCATGATGTCACCCGATGAGTCATATATCTTGCTGGTTGTCCCCAGAAGATCAATAAAAGCAAAGTCAAAGTACCTCTTCTGGTGCAATAGTGCATATGATACAGGTCTTAGCATTACCACCAAGTGCAGGTTGAAGAATACGAGTCAGCTTGCTATCACGGAATGGAATATGTGCCCTATAACAAGGATGTATCAAGAGGAGTTGAGATATGGAATGTATGTTAAATGTTCTAAAATCAAGAGTAAGAGATACCTTTGCTTTGCACCATCACTTAGTTTATTGATGACATTTCCAAGAATCATTAAACTCTTATTAATGTACTTCCCTTCCTTCAATCGTACTCCATCAGCACCAGTTTTAGCAATTCGCTCAGAGCCGGCCAAGTCAACCAAATTCTATGATCCATTATGGAAATAGAATGCACCCAGATTTGAGATAAGAGAAGTGGCGAACTTAAACAAGATTGTAATAGGAAAAGCTTTTTAAAAGTGCCCTTTTAAAAGATTCAACCAAATAGCAATAACTGACCAAAACTGAGACACGGATAGCATCTGAAGAGTTGTTTTCTTTTCCCTTGCTCTCAATCACCTGTCATACCACAGATATGGCATCAGAATACAGACTTTGGTTTGAATCTAGGTTATATCCACAGCTTTTGAGTCATTACCATTCTGAAGATTGTGTGAGACCTGCTACTGTGTATGTTCATAATTGTTTCGCCAAAGTGCCTATTGACTACAAAGACCAAGAAAACCATGTCAGATACAATTAGAACAAATAAAATTTTGAGAAAAACAGATACTTCACAGTTTTTGTCTGGCTTAACACCTTCTCCAGAATCAATAAGCTTTAGAATCTGCTCAGCATCATTGACAATTTCCTCCTTGAGGCCCATGACAAATATTCCACGCTGGAAACAAAGAGAAGCTTGTGGGTTTGATCATTCCAGAAAAGCTAATGGAGAATATATCCACTCGTGAAAATAAAACCAACCTCGAAATGTTCATGGATTTGCAGTTTCTGGTTCTCAACAGCTAAAAGATCATTGATTTCTTCATTGTAAATTTCCATATAAGAAACCCGGATGAGAAACTCTCGCTCAGATATCTGGGCAGACAAAAAGTGAAACAGATGAGTCAAGATTTGATTTTTTTACTCTCTAGAAGATGGAATTCTGGTCATTTAACTCTGCACCTACAGTATTTATTCGCTCGAACACATCTCTGACCGCCCTGTGAATTATTCCGGGATCAGATTCAGGACCCTTCATCGTAAACGTCTTTCCACTGCTTGTCTGTCCATAGGCAAATGCAGTACCTGCACAACATTGCACCAAAACCGCTGACTCTCTGCATATGTGCTTCCCAAATTTAGCACAGTGAAACCACACAGCATGTGAAAGCCTGTAACTGTATAACATCTACTGGGAGGCACAATTCTAGTAAACTTAATAAACAATCAGTAAAGCAAGAGTCACCTTGAAAAATCAAAACTTTTCTGAAGAAAAAGGCAAAGCATGAAAATATTGACAGGAAACACCAAAAAAATGAACTCTAGGTGTTACAAGAAACCCTACAGCCAAGTTGGAGAAGAAGACTGTACCCCATAATCACAGATTCACATCCATAAATCAAGTCCACAAAAATTGTGGGGCATAATATTCACACAAATAATGGAGCTTCGGATTACCGTTGAAACCATCGACTGCGGCATGGATAATATCCTTGGTGAGTAGCTCGTAAACTCTGGTATTCGTACAAGTTTCGTCGAATACATGATCTACAAAAACCAAACACCGCAATCTGTCACAACCCACAAAACACAATCGAAACAAAAACCCAGAATTCTACTTAAGAATCAGAAATGCGCACCGAAAGCGTAAGAGACGTTGGAGATTGAAGTGTCAAGTGACTTGTATAGAGAGAGATGCGTTTGTCTTCGACTTTCCAGTGGGCAGTTTGATTTTCCGGAGACTTTCCCGCCGGCGCCGGAGTGCCTCACAGCGACACAGATCTTCTCCATCCGATCTGAGAGTGCTTTGGCCTTTGTTCTGAAGACGCCTCTTCAAAGGGGGTTGTTCTTGGTGCTCTTTCTAGCCGTTGGGAAAGAATTTGAAAATCCCCCTACCCTAATTTTTTTTTTAAAAAAAAGGGCTTTCTAAATTTCAAACATGAACTCATTCAGATTACGGAATCCAAAATACCCGAGTATCTGATTTGATCCGTTTATTTGAAATGTGGGTATCCGTCTAACGGTGGGGGATAAATAAGTCCGGAGACAGCAAAGAGGATTTGAATTTTGCCGAATTCGGGTTCGAGTTTGGGTCAGCGACCACTCGTCGTATCAAAGGGTAATCTTAATCCAAGGGACATGAGGACAAAAGGGGGCGACGAGGTTCGGAAGTGAATCCTAGGATTAGATATATATTTATTTTACGGATTTTCGTCGTTTTAAAGAACAGACAGGTTGAGGGCGATGCGGACGAGGGGACCCCTCGCCTTGCCTCCGACAACTCACCTCTGCCCTCGCCAGTCGCCGCTCGTTGGGCACGTCTTTCATCTCTACCCGTCTCTCTTTCCTCGCGATCTTGTCGAACTAGACTCGCCTCTTATCGGCCGACAAAATAACGTGGGGATATCTAAAACGTTTTGAGCATCTCACGGACATCCAAAGCTCCACCGATACTGGTACGATACGAGGATGGATATTCCGAACTCCGAAACCCGATCAGTTACCCGACCTGTATCCACCCATTACTATAAAAAGGAGAAGTGGTTTCGTGCATAATTCCTCACTTCCCGTAAAACACGAAAACGAATGCATACGAATGCGAAAAGCCCTTCGAAGGTTATCCCATTGGAGATTTTCTCACATGTTCACCGGAGGAGACCCCTGAATTTGAAACAACAGCTGTTCAGTTGCAGATAAAAACAAGAGCAGGAAGGAAGTTTTCCATTGTTTTCAATGGTCACCTTGAAGAGGAGATCGTGAGCTATGGAGTCCCATGGCAATGAAATGGACATCAAACAGCACTTCAGAGGGAACATCATCTCATCTTCGTCCGATGATGCCGAAGTAGCCGCAGCTATCGCTTGTTTCGCTGCTACCGTTGCAACGGTCGCCGCTCTGTGGAATATCGACCCCAGTCCTATCCTCTTCTTCGTCTGCAACGGCGACATAGGCCCTACATCTACCCCGCTCTGATCTATACATATATAGACACACACACATACAAAGTTATGCGAAAAACTGTTACTTTACATTAAACATCGCATTGGAAAACAACGAGATAGATGAAAAGTTACGGGAAAAGAACGAGATTTGAGAGTTGGAAGAGTACCTATAACACCGGAAACAGCTACTTCTACTTCTCCCCTTCCTCCGGGACCCCTCATATAAAGTCTATCCGCTTTACCCGTGTTATGTCCGAGCGATAGAAGACTCCCGAACCGAGACCTCCCCGCTGTAAAAACCAAAGAATAAATAAAACCCATTTACGGATGTCAATAGATAAGGAGAGTAGCATCCGGGCAAGAACGAACAAAGCATACAGAAGGGGTGTCTATATATATAGATGTAACATGTAAGGAAAGCACGCGGTCATATCGGGGAGGAAACCTTCATAGGCATCTCGAACCATGTGATAGCTGACAAATCCAGAGAACAGAGTAACCTGCAAACCACACATTCGATAACCCGCCTCGTAAAATTGAGGATACATCTAAAACCATCTTTCCATGGAAAATACTGATCTTTAACGAGAAAACTATTCCATATATGCATTTATTTCAAAAAAAAAAGGCTGCTAAAGATCGATGAAGAGACAAATCGCTAGACCTTGGCATTTTTCATCCTTGAGGAGTCGGAATCGGTATTTGCATTGTTAGCATCTTCCCCTTTTTCACTTGGAAATGCAGCTCCATCATGGGCATTAAGAAGCACACAATAGCAGTGATCTTTTTCTGTCAAAACCTGCAAACACATACGAGAATTGCAAGCATTTTAACAAACTAGTGTTTTTGAATCCTTTGCATACTACCCACCAGAAAAAAAAAAGGAAAGAGAATGACTAAAAGATGTAACAACAAGAAGCACAGCAGTTGTGTGAAATATCATTACTTGAATCCATTCCTGAAAACCGAGTAAAGAGTCATGCAAAATATCGACCACCCCGTTAATTGGGGATTACGCATGCATGCATTTTCTGCCCTTAGTTTCTTGTGGCAAAAGAGAATTCATGCCAAACTCCTCGATAGTATCAAAGGGAAGTCAATTTCACGGTGAACAAAAATGTCTAAACAACTTCAGAGTTCAGAATCCACTCATGGGTAGAGAATTTCCTCAAAGATAAGGAACTAACAAAAAAATGCACAACTGAAAATCCAAAAAAGAGGGGAGGAAGAAAATATATTACCACAGCATCAAAGGTTGAGTCAAAATCATCAACTGCAAAACTAATATCCGGATAGGCAGGTGTCGTCTCGTCTCCCTAGGTAAACGATAATGGCAACATCAGAACCGAACTCACAATGGACAACCATAGCTTTAGATGAATAGACAATACTTGCCTTCTTCGAGTCTAGATGAAAATTAACACGGCTAGGTGAGGCATAGACGGTTTTTACAACCTGCAGGAGTTTAAGATCATGTCAGGCAATTAAGATCATTGTTAATACACAGAATATGAAGCTGAAAAGAAGAATAATAGAAGCGGGAGTCATATTCCATCTCTGATCCTTGTCTTAATTGATGATTGAACTCTATAAGGATGAAAGTATTTTGAACAAAACATGGATATAGGTTTAGTCATTTCATTCAAAACAAGTGCTATGAAGCCATACGAATAGACGTTAACTCGAGATGGAATAATTTCATCAAACACTCAAGATCTCTAACCTTGTACACAGGGGATAGTGATGTGTCCCTATCTGTTTGATAACTCTTTAGAGCCTCATGACTGAAAACACCACCAACTAGGTGTTAACATAGTAACATTGCAAGTCAAAACAAGGAATTATTGATGCAAATCGAGGAAGCATGTATAAACAATATAGTACGGATATCAAAGATTACCTGCAAATTGCCACTGTCACAGTGAACGACGTGTGAGCAATCATATTCAAATAAAACGATTTCCTCCAATCAACGTCGGGAAGGCTTTCACCAAGGATCTCGTCTAACTGCTTCATAAAGGGTGAGAAAATCATTACCATGTGTTTACAAAGGGATTCCTTATCCAAGGGATCTATTTATGAGAAGAAAACGTGATTGGAGGGACAACAAGTCGAAGATATTACAACTTATCAAAGTTTCCATCATTATGAACAAGTAAAAATCATGTTTCATTACCGCTTTCCTCTTCACGTACGGAATTCTATGTTGATATGTGGATTTGTTTTTTCTACAATGTTTACCTTAGGTGCCCACCTGCGCACAAAGTAAGGGGCTGGAGCTTCCTCATTTTCGTTCAAACCATATGGTTTACAGCTCTGCAAAAGTATAGAATATACTCTGATATCAACCAACAGACATGAAGGGGAGCCTTGGCGCACCGGTTAAGGTGTTGCCGTTGTGACCTAGAGGTCACGGGTTCGAGTCCTAGAAGCAGCCTCTTGCAGAATATCTGCAAGGTAAGGTTTGCCTACAATACACCCTTGTGGTGGGACCCTTTCCCGGACCCCCGCTCAACGGGGATGCTTTGTGCACCGGGCTGCCCTTTATCAACCGACAGACATGATAAATATGATACCCTAAGTTTTATAATGTAGAGATTAGACATAGCTACTCGCCATTTTCTTCACAAAAAACAGAAGATCGTCGTCTTGTCGTCCCCTTGATTCGTTGCCGCGAATGAAATACACATCAAAGATTCCATGCCAGAAATTCGAGTCCATTTCTACATCCGAAGCATCTTTCTCATTAGCTCCGAGTTTCCCTAACGACTTTGAGTGCTTTCTTACCATACTCAGGATTTCATGCCTGAAAAAGACATTAGGTCAGGCAGTGAAATTTAACCTTAGCATCCCCAAAGAACCACCCAAATTCTCAATAGGAACATCACTACATTAAAAAGGAATTCCAGGAGATACAAATTCCATGAATGCTGAACTAAAACTCCAAATTATTATATTAGATTTCAGTATGCAATCACCATTTGATGATTGATGAAGAACCTGCTGAGAATAGGTAAGCATAAACACAAACAAAGTCCATCTTTCATCAAAGGAATAGTAAGCAGAGGATTGATTTATCCCAAAAAACACTAACTTACAAGCTGCAAAACTAACTTAGAAAAATCCACCGGATCAAGATCCTCCGAAGCAGAAGTAAGAGGAACAATTCATGTAATCGCAAAGTGAACATCAAAACTGGAAATTTGCATGCTGGTCTAAAGAAAAAGACTTCAAATTTCCTGCGAAGGTTGACCCGGAAAACTTGGAACCAACCACACGATCAAGCAGGGAAAAAAACCCCAAAAATGTCCACTGAGAAAGGGATCAAAAGATCGAAAAAAGAAAGAACATGATCATTCTCTTCATTTTTGTCGGAATTTTGTCCTTGCCTTGAAGGAGTGTCTTCTCCATCGCTGAGCATTTCCGCCCAATTTCGACGATTTCTTCTCCGATCAAGACGAGAAACCCTGCGACGATTTCGGAGATGAATTGGGGTTTCTGCTAAAGCTTTCTGAAACCGTTTCGCTTAATTCGATGAGAAGAAACTGAGAGAGAGCTTAATTCGATCTGATTTGCTTTGGCGTAGGCGATGCCTTGGCTTGTTGCGTGGGCGGAGAAGACGACCCACAGTGCTATAAATTTCTTTCGAAAATGACCCCAAAGAAATCAACATTGAATAATAACCTAATCTATCAGATCACAAAGGCTTTAAAATATTTTAAATTTACAATCAGAAAAAAAAAATATAACTTGAACAAAATGACAATAAAAAAAGCACATGTAATAAATTTATCATTTATATTTTTAATATACAATTTATTTAGAATAACGATCACAAAATTACGATTTATATATTAATGTGATATAAAAAGGCGATTTATTTGTCTCTATAAAACTATTATTTTTTAAATATTATTCCATCCAGATTTTGCAAAATGAATCATTATTAAGAGGACCATCATTTTTTTTCTTTTCTCTTTTTTTTTTTTCAAAATTCCAAGTTTCATTTGATCAATCCTTTTCTGTAATCATTTTTTTTTCACCATATCTTTTAGTTATCTTATCTTTGCAATATAATAAAAGGGTCTCTTAATAAAGATTATGGGCTCTAATCCCATCGTGGAAATGGATGATATGACTAATGATATCTTAAAAAAACCTTTTATCAGAAGATACTCTCATATATATAAACTAAATGTTATTTCTCTCTCAGAAAATCTGATTAGACGAAACTTGTGGGGTTGATTAGTAAAATCTAAGAAATGTGGCGTCATACGGTAATAATCCAAAGAAGGTTGGGTTAAGTAAAAGCCAGAGGAGATCATTTATAAGGCGGCAGGGCATTACCCTTTTCTAAAACTAATCCTATATATACCGTCCTCTAAATATGGTGACCGAAATAATCGTATAGTTACATAATGATCACATTGATCATAACATTAAATTTATGGTGATTACACCAAATCACAATAGTCACACCTTACATATGATACTAATCACTTGGTGAAATCATCATAAATTTAACGGTGTGATCAATGTGACCATAATATGACCATATAGTTATTTTAGTCACATAATCACATTTGGAAGAGAATATATGTAGAAGTAGTTTTAACAAAAAAAGAGGGTATTTTAGATATTTTGTCCGACGGAGAGACCGAAGATTCCGAAAGAAAAGGAGGGTTCAAGAGGGCAAGAACGTATAGGGACAACTGATGGACAGGTTTAAAACATGGTGATATATTTTTGTAAATAACAACAAATTCTATGGATCATAATCATATTTTCGCGTATAAAAGATTTGAAATTCGAATTTTGAATATCTTAATCGAATATGCTCGATCTCATCTTAGTTATACCTCTAGTACCCAAACTTGAAGCCATGTCCCAGACATACATATAATATACACACACACAAGGATGCCCAACCAGTGTCCCTCTGCATGGCATTTGATTGTGTACGTACGTATACGTATACGTATACGTATAAGAATACGTAATACGTGTAGGGTGGTAAAGTACGTAAGGCCTACCACTAGCACGAAAACCATTTGCCGTGTCATCGCCAACAAAACCATCAATTCACATTCAAAAAGCCAACTGGCAAACTTTTGTTGTTATATATATATATATGTGTGTGTGTATGTATGCCCATGAAATACTGAGGACCCCATCCGCATCCACTGGACAACTACTCACATTGTTTGATTTTTTTTTTCTTTCATTTTCCGAAAAAAAAAAGTTTTATTTCTTATTATTATTATTATTATTAAGATGTGACAAGTTTTGGATCTTGTCTCTTGTCAATGAGACTTGAACAAGATAAGTTAGTTTGTTTTGGGGGGTAAAAATATCACAGTGTGGATATATTGTTTTTTTTTATATTCCGGTTTGGGGTTATTTTTTTAACAAAAAGCGTAAATTGATATATTGATTTTTGTATTTAATTGGGTTTGATTTGCTTTAAAAATATTTCTTTTGTAATGAAATTTTCATGTTCATTTGAATATTTTAATTATTTTTATATTTAGTTCAGATTTTATAAATTATATATGTCAAGAATTTAAGAAAAATTAATTCTTAAGAATTGTTTGTTTGGTGGGTTTTAAAACTTTTACTTAATTAATTTCTAACTTTTATGTTATCTTTTAAGGTGCGTATTTATTTACAAATCTGCAAAATATCATCCGAATCCATAACCTATGAGAGGGTTACCATCAATTTGAATGATCATCCTAAAAGGCTTGTTCATCCAAAACTTTTTTTTAAAAAATGATATACATGATTTTCCCACCAAAGAAATAAATAGATAACGAGGGATGCAATTTTACTGCAAGAATTTTTTGAAATATCGGGTATTAAATGAAATCTCTAAAAACATAAGACGGTCGATTCATTCACCCTTATAAATACTAAATGCAACACAAGATGGGAGAATTAAAAGAAAGTTTCTCCTCCTCTAAACCCTTATAGCCAAGAAAGAGAGGGAGAAAAAAAAAACAACACATACACACCCAAAGAGCGTTTTGTTCAAAGCCAAAAGCTTTTGTCAAAGAAACCCATATCAAAAGATAACTAATTTTCGGGCGAAAACCCGAATTCCAATTACATCAAAAGCAATGGATTTCGAAAACTCGGGATTCAGCGAAGCAGGAGAATCGGGTTGGACGACGTACTTAGACTATTCTTCGAGTTCAATTCACCGTTTCGATAGTTTCATCAATGGAGGAAGAAATCTTGCTGGAGATGATGAATATGAAGTGGATCTATCCATGGTTTCCGACGCTTCCTCGGGTCCAAGATTTTACTGCGAAGACGTAGAAGAGTTCCTCCAAGAAGACGTGTACTGCTCCAAGAACAAGAACAAGAAGGAACATGAGGGACAACAACATAGGAGGAGGTTTTATTCTTGTCTTGACGACACCGCAAGCTCTTTGGTATACTATACGCGTGTGTGTGTGTGTGTGTATATATCCTTCAAATTCTTGATAACTTTGGTCTTTGTAATGAGTACCCATTTGGTTATAATTAACCTCACGTGTTTAGTATGCCAAGAACATTCATGGGCTCAGAAACGAAGTTTCGAGGCAGCAAGCGGAGGAATTTTCACAGAGAACGTTCAAGGTTCGATTCGAATTACTTTTCTCTCTCGAAGTAGAAAATTTCCATATGTACGTATAAATACGTATGAATACGAGAGGAGTTTGTGAATGTACGTGTATACTCTTTTTATAAACAGGAGAATCCGGCAGCGAACGTGAACTTGGATTTCTTCCAAGCATCACGTAATGGGAAGTTGGCTTTGGACCATCTTCAAGGTTATACATATATATGTGTGTATATATATATATATAGTATTTTCCTCTTTTTTTCCTAGATAATTTTGATGTTATATTTTAGTTCGTACTAGCTATAAATTCAAGATATTATATATATACATATATATACATATATCGTATAATTCGCACTCACATTATAAAAAACTATATCTATTAAAATGTTTTAGCATGAGAGAACACACACACACACACACACACACACACACACACATATATATATATATATATATATATATATATTCGATTCGACAACGTATTCATCAATTTATCACACGAAATGTATTTGCAGGTACAAACGACAAGCGGAAGAGAAGAGGTGCAAAATGATTTATTGTTGATTACTATGGGCTTCGGTTTGTAAACAAAAAAGAAAAAAGAAAAGAAATGATGAGTTTTTTTCTTTGCTAATTAATTGTGATGTTAATTATTTTGTTAATTCTGTGTTGATTTTGTTATTATTCTGCAAAGGTAGACAAAAATAAAAGGAAAAGAAAAAGAGATCATACCTATTTAGGTGTTTATTAATTGCTGGATATACAATAAATTAATATCTCAAAGAATTGTAACTTTAAATCCAAAACCAGTTGACTTAATATCAAATCTCTCATTAATTCAGTATCACATGATAGATATACGCATATGTGTGTGTGTGTATATTTGATGAGACAACCTTGTTCGGTTTTTATAGGTTTATCAATCAAAACATTGCATAGCACGACTAACCGAATATATATATGCATATATATATAAAGAGTATAAATTAATAAGCATTGATATTTACATAAAATTGTCCGTTGAATGTACGATGTGGTGAGAACGACCCACAAAATGAAATGGGACACTAATGATAGTCATCACATTAAATGTTTGGAACATATTATTCATTGATATTTCACGGCTAGCTTATTTGTGATATATGCAACCACATATTGTGGAAGGGATTATACATACATACATACATACATACATATATACATACATACATACATACATACATACATACATACATACATACATACATACATACATACATACATACATACATACATACATACATACATACATACATACATACATACATACATACATACATACATACATACATACATACATACATACATACATACATACATACATACATACATGCATCTTACATACATACATATACATACGTACAAACATACATAGACACATACAAACACATCACATACATGCATACGTACGTACATACATACATACATATTATCGTAACCTACTTCCGTGACGATGAAGCTGTGCCACTTGTGAGTGGTTCAATTTATGTGTACTATGGTTTTGATCCATGTCGGGATTAGGGAACAATGGATTTTACGAAACGTTTCGTGGGTTTCTTATGTCGTGTCTCCTTTCGATTCGAGAAGACATTCTACCAATAAAAATTTCGTAAGAGGCTTTCGACTTATTGCTATGGATATCTGCTTCATTTACGCACACACACACATACATATATATACACACATAATGTGTGTTTATACTATATATATCAGCGATACGCTAATTTATATATAAAGTATTGAAAATTTGTATTTATTGATTTACAACAACCAACGTGGCTATAAGTATACACACTTTTTCTTCATATTGATCATTTTGAAACAAATTGAAATATTCCATATGATTGAAATGCATCTTTGTAACTAAAATATGAATAGTAATACATTTTTTTTTGGTTGCATGAGTAGAACACTATGTTGATTTTTTTTTTATAAGAACGTTGAATAAAATTTTTAAAAGACAAAACCAAATGATTTGCTACCAATTAAATTCTGAATTATTTTAAAATTCTTTATATTTTTGTGTGGTTTTAGTTGATTTTCTCTTTACATAAGTCGTTTATTTTATTTTTATCTATTACGTCGATATTCTCACTATACTCAAATAAATGAAAAATATCACATTTAATTTTATAAATTCAGAACAAATTTTGGTTATCCAAATTAAATAAGCTTCACACCAAATGAACTACAAATATATATATATATGGCTAGAAAGTGATAAATATAGGAAAACACACACGAACTGGAAGTATAGTGAACATGTAAATATATTACCAATTTAAGGTTTAAGTCCAACTTCGGTACAATTCCTTCCTACACAGCTGTTCCTGGGCCCTTTTTTTCATTTTTGCTCCCTTTTTTTTTTTATTATATTTCCATTACAAAATATGATCTTATATCTCTATCAAAATTTAAATTTATCATCAAACAACGATTATAAAAGTACGTACTTGCTTCACGTAATTGCATAATAATGGCCGATAAAAATGGAATGAGTCATTGATTTGGTTTTTATAATGGAATATATATATATATATATATATGTATAATAAATCTTATATATAACCCAAGTAATTAAAAGACCTGAATATCATTCATTATCTAAAATATCTTTATATTTATTTTATAAAAATTAACTCTTTAATTAACTTTTATTTTATTACAAAAGAGTTTATTGGTTTTTAAAATGCTTTCAAACCGATTCTTATTTGGTTTTAAAATTAAATTACTTATTTGTATTCTTTGTACATTTATTTTTATCGTAAAATTACAATGAAAATCATCCGAAAGAGAGAAATATTTCTTGTGTCTCTTTTCTTTGTCTAATGTTTTCTTTCCATTAATGTTTGTCCATATTTCTTCTTCTTTTTACTTTCATTCATTTTCCAGGTGATTTATTATCAATTAATTACGTTTGTTTTGTTTAAAAAAAAACTATTTTCTACCATTAGATTCTAACAACACATGCAAGTATATGATGCCGGGAAATTACATCTAACACAAGTTTTTGGAATTAAGCTAACCAAAATTTTTTATTATTCGAGGTTTTTTTATTAGTTGAATAAAATATTAATGAAATTTCTATTATTTAAAGTTTAGAGTTACAATACATAGAGATGAATTAGAAAATTCTAGTGGACTAATATATATATATATATAATATATAAATAAAATAAAAGATATATAATAATATTTAAATGCTATTTATCATGTAAAACTCTTCGAATATTCTAAGCATATATATATATATATATAACAATTAAATACATGTGAAATTCACGACTATATATGGGACAAATTAGGGTTTCTGTATTCGAAAAAGATGCATGAACATTGTATTTTTTTTTTAATCGATATTAAAAGGGAGGGAAAAGAGAAGAAAAAATGGAAAACGAGTCATATAATTGTGAGATTTTGTAAGCGTGTGTTTCGTTACTTTGACCAAAAAGACGAATCATTCGAACATGGAATCTCTCGAATAGGTCACATCCGTACAATATTTACTATTAAATAGTACCGACATATATGACTAGACAAAGGCTTTGCTCCTATAACCTTAGCTGCCAATGTACATTAATTAGATGCTTGAGTTCATGAATCCTAACAATATATATTATTATTTCTACTATGCTTTATATGTATATGCTCTCCGACCAAAGATAGTTAACGATTGTATAACTATTATGATATATTATTTGTTGTTATAATTAACGATTATATCTCCACGGTCTAATGTGAAGGATATTATATATATATATATATATGTTAGTCTCCAAAGTCCTGATATATATATATATGAATAATTTAGTCTTCTAATAGGATTTAGTAATCTGGTTCTGTTTTTCTATTTAATCTCTTATATGCGTATATATGTTATTTCATGCAATGGAAAACTAAGGCATTGATTATTGTCGATAACATTCATAAAATTGTTAAACAAAAAAAAAAGTTAAACCAAAAAAAAACATTCATAAAATTATATGAACTTTTGAGAGTATCTTGATGTTTTGTTTGGACCGACGTTAATATTTTCCTATACCATCTGTTACATTGTAAGACAATATTACGAAAAAAATAGTATAATTATGCATTTGATAACACACGGACCATTTGCATTTTTTTATAATCTGAAAATTCACTGAGTTTTTGACCCGATTATATCTCTCAGAAGATCGGAACAACTCATGTGAATGTCCCTCCCCAAATAAGGACTCGAATCTGAGTTGGAAAAGAATTTGGATCCCTTTCTTATCGGTTGAGTCACTCAATCTTGGGTCATATGCATATTAATTACAAAAAGATTTCATATATATAGAATATAGTATCATGTCAAGAGATTACATATATGCATGCAACACCTTGATGATGATTTGATGATTATGCAATATATATAATCCATATTATTCATAACATATCGTACGTACGTGTATACTCTAAAAGTTGAGAGATATTTCACCGAACCCATAGATACATACACAGTCATTGTGTTTATGTACAGGTGACTATGTGAGCATATATATATATATATATATATATGTATGCATGTATGTGTGTGCATGTATGGGAATGGTCCCTTAGGGAGCTCGTGAGCACATGGCAATTTGTTAGCTTGTGGCCCTTTTGCCAGTCCATCAATCCGTATAATCTGCATGTAGGGATATAAATTTCCTACGTACTAAATGCTTCTTGAATTATTTTCAATTTCACGCCACATCATTCGCCTTGTACATACATGTATATATGCGCGCACACACACACCACATATCCATAGTTTATATCTTAATGGATTTGTAAGTTAAATTGATAACTCTAAGTATTATATGAATAAAACTGACATAAAAATTGAAAATATATCCAAAATAGACGGTTCAGCTGGTAAGGCAGATCTCAATCTTGAGATAGTTAGATCGAAGATTTAGTAAACTTTTGAATTATAAAAAAAAAATGTATGTATTGCCTTTAGGTCATATATGGACCGTCTCAGTTTGCTTTAATCTCTTGTGTAATTGTATTGATAAATCCTAAAAACAACTTCCTCAAATTCTATTAGTGAATTTATAAAATTTAAAATTTTTGATTAAATATAAATGATGGCATGTGGCCTCATTCATGTATCTGTACGTGGATCCGCTCATGGTCTTTATATGCTGGCCAAATTACTCCATTTGTTCAAACATTAACTTATACCCTAATAACAATTTTCTTGAAAACAGGATAAATTACCAAATATAACCATATTTTACAAAACAAAAAGGAGAGTATGATTGGTGTAAGAGTTTTATTGTCAAATCTGATATTTTAATATTTTTGGATCAAATTCATGTTTTTAAAGAATAATTAAATTGTCTAAAGTTCTTTAATAACGATATAAATATATATATATATATATATTAACATATTATTTATATATAATTTGTATTGGTATAATATAAAACATAAATGATAAGAATATAAAATAAAATTTTAGTATGAAAAGGAGGAGCTAACGTTCCAAAATTATGCTTAGTTTTCTATTAATTTTTTTAGTTTATCAATAAATTTTACTTTTTTAATGGATAGTTATTTTAATTTTATTTGGATTTCATTTGAATTTGATTTTTATTTTAAGAAAATTATAGTTTATCTTTTTTTTTCATTTTAAAGTAGTTTTTTATTTTTAATAAATTTTAATATTTTTTGAAATTTTGAATCCAATTCAACTTAAATATATTATTGTTATTATTGTTGTTGTTGCGGGCCCCTGTGAACTGGACTCTTGAAAAACAACACGCGTCGACCCATATTTATTTAATAGATATTGTTTAGGCCCAAATAATATATAATTGAGCTATAGGCTCATATTGTTATCAAAGCTTCGTAAGCTCATAAATTGGGCTCACCTCACTCTAAAAATATATCAATTTAAACATGTTTATTTTTCCCCCTTTTCTGAACAATATAAATTTATGATTTTTTTTTATCCGGATTGAATTAAATTGGCGTTATATAAAAAATACCTTCCCTTTCATATTTTAACTCCAACTCATACATTTCTCTAGATGTGAACTCTGTAACCCATGTGACTAGAAATATTGTCTAATCACATCTTGATCTTACTGATCATAACGTTAAATTTATGATGATCACACTAATGTGTTATATTCATCCCTTATATATTTCGCTAATCATTTGATTAAAATATTATAAATTTAACGTTATGACCAATGAGATCAACATGTGATCATACTATATTTTAAACTCACATAGATCATTGGGTCACAATTGGAGAATGATATGGGTTGAAGTCAAAATAACAAATGGAGAGTATTTTAGATAATGTCCAATTAAATTCTCTTATAGCTCGAGTCAAAGCGATATTGGGTCTAAGAGGAAAAAAAAATGGTTTAATATTAATTTGAGATTTTTTTTGTTAGGATTCAATTAAATAATTAAGGCCAGTATTTTGGAGGTTCTATATTTTCTTAACCTAATAAATTAGAGTTCTACACCTTATAAATGAACTTTAAGGTACTTTATTTTATCGTACATAAAAAAATTACAAACAGAAAAAAAAAAAGAGAAAACCACAATCGTCTTCGGTTGCAACACATATATTAAATTTTTTAAAAAATATATTTTATTGACTGTTTATATGAATTATTTAAAACAAAATATCGTTAATGTTTGAGTTTTTGTATAATCACTTTTCACAAAAAAAAACTGAATTATCTAATAAATAAAGTGAAAAGTCAATTAACAACCTAGTTAACAACCCCTGTTAGTTGCTAGTTGAGTATTTAGAGGTGACAAAATCATTTGGAGGTTTTGGGTTTGATTTCACTAGTGGGAAAGAAGAGACACTTGATTGTCTGATTAAAGACTAATTCCAGATTCAGAGGATTAAGTGGACCGACGACCCGATAAACCTCTTGATGACAAAAAAAAAATCGTTTACAAACGTAGAAACTAAAGAAACTCTAAACGAACAATTATATAGAAGTTGACAGATTTGTAAAAATGGATAAAACGAAGCGTATTTTGTAATTTACTAAATATTTGATCGTGAGGTATTTATTTTAGCAAATACGAATGAATTATTGTTGCTTAAATAATTTGTACATAGTGAGTAGTATGAGAGTCCATCATCACTACGGAAGGACGAGACGAGGACCACATCCGCGTGGTCGCTTTCTCGCCTTTATAAAAAGCTATAAAATAAAGCACAACTTAATCTCTTGATTAGGGCTTTGATTAATTATAATTAATTAAGGATTAAGGTTCCTAATCATGTCCCATTGTGACGTATTTTATGCTGTACGTATTTCCTTGTCCCTGTTTTCCTTGCACATGCATAATCATATAAAATCACTCATTAATTCATCTCCCCGTGATAATAACATAATGTTACGTAGGTGTAAAGAATTCCATTATATATATATATATATATATATTGATTTTTTTTTCAAATGTTTTTTTTATGGAAACTCAAATTATAAGTTTATATAGTATGGTCTCAATAAATTATTGTGATTGTGTTAGGTAGGATTAGGATGAGTTGTGTATAATATAAGTCTCTATGATGAACAAATCAAGTTGAATGATCACTTGTTGGTTGGACCGAAACTCAAATTATAATTCAAATATTTATATATATATATATATATATATATATATACAAAGGTTGGTCCCCAATCTAGGGTGGATATAGTCGGACCGAAAGTGTGAGGAATCATTCTGGTTATCAAATA